AAATCGAGAACTTATAACCGGTCTAGTGAATGTTCATGCAATCTCACGCTTTTATGGATTTAATTGGTTTCTTTCTTCTTTTTTTTTTTGTAGATTAAATGTGGGTAGGTTTTGTGGTAGGGTAAGTCTATGTACTATACCTTTGCGCGTAATAATAATTAGAGTGCGGAAGTGTATGCAAATTGCAAAATTTTAGATAGTGAAAGTTATTATTGGACAGTATTTGAGTTGCTGTACTCTAGAACCTTGAGAATATCAATTCACTGTGTGGTGTAACTATTAAACCACCCTAAAATTTGCATTTGTTATCAGGCGACAGAAATGAATCGACAAAGTAACTGAGGGAAAATCGAGAGCTTGTAACCGGTCTAGTGGATGTTCATGCAATGTCACGCTTTTATGGACTTCATTGATTTGATTTCTTTTTTTTAGTAGATTAAATATAGGTAAATTGTATGGTAGTCTACGACTGCACTTCGCCGTTGCACGTAGTAATAATTAGACAGCGGATGTGTATGCAAATTCGAAGATTTTAGATAGTAATACATAAAAATTATTATTGGACGGTATGTATTTCATTTCCTGTACTAGAGCCTTCAACAGTAATGCATAAATACCTGTGGATTTTATTGAAATCTGCATTTTACTGTGTACCAATTCCATAACTTTTATGGTATCGTAACACAATAACGAGTTACTTTCATACTTTTGGCCGTTAGTGTAGCTTCAATTCGAGATCATTCCGTGTCCCGATGACGTGAACGTCTCAATTTGTACAACAACAAGAGAGCAAAAGGGCCCCCGTTAACGAGCCGTGTAGAAATCGCGTCCTCCCGCGAGATCGCGCGATCCACAGGCCGAAAATCGACAGGACCCCGTTTCTAAGGCGCGTTGCCGCGTGAATTATTGCCAATTACAAAACGCACGCCGGGTCCCCCCCCCCCTCTTTCCTCTCTCAGTCAGGGCGCTGCCGAAATTTATAGTCGATGATAAAGGTATCTGGCCGGCTGTAAAAGCGGTTTAACAAGCGCCGGCCCGGTTACCAACACGCGAGCCAATAAATCGCGCGGTCGCCCCTCTCGAATCACTTTCTTTTGGGGCCCAGATTTTTCCCCCCCCCCCCCCCCCTCCACTTCCCTTACTGGTACGCTTCTGGCGGTCCGATTCGATCTTACGATCGCTTTATGATACTTATTTATCGCGGTTATTAATAAACAAACGATACACCCGCCGAACGCGCCTCTGCCCCGTAAATATCGTAATTAATGCTCGCGATAATTCTCCAACGATGACCGCCATCAATTACACGGTACCCTTGCGTTAACGCACCGACACACGGTGTGTATTTTTATTTTTTTTCCTTTGTTTTCAAACGAAGAGATTCTACAATGTCCCGGGAAGTTACCATGACGATAAAATTGCATGATCGAGGGCTTGGAGGCCTGCGTCGATCGTATAATGCACTTTGGACTGGGTCGTAATTATACGGAGGGAAGGATCTTTGAGTAATTCGAGCGTTTGGGATTGCTCGTTAACCAGTCGTTGGCCACTTTTTAGCATCCTCCTTTGGCTGGGTTTTTCAGTAAAATGGATGTAATATGAACGACGATACGGCATTTATCGTTTCACTATAACTGATATCATTCTATTTCTATCGTCATATGTTAAGTACTAATGTCGAATTTAATGTAATTTACCTGTTACTCTTTACATAGTTCATTCCTTTGTAAACACATTGCAGCCAGACGGTTACAATATTCCATTATTGCATAAATCCTGTCTATACCATCTTCATATCTAAGTCGAGTTCTGTGTGTACTACAAGGATTGAACACTTGTGACAATACACTAAATCATGAAAAATCCTCGAGTCGACTAGAGAGAAAAAAAAAACGAGAATATATCGGCAACGAGGTGATGTTGAAGGGTTTGGTTGAAAATAGGACTGCCCCGAATGTCCCAGACGGTCGTCACGATATTCCTCCGCGAGGAAGAAATGAATCTTTTACGCGCCATCGCCGCGGATGCATCCGGTTCACGCCGGATCCGACGAGGCACGTGACGATCTAGCACCTAGACGTTGGAGAAAAAAACAGGGGAAAGGATGGTCGACAACTGCGAACCCTTCCAAGGGTGAATCGGAAAGGGATGCAGGGAAGAAGGTTAAATGGCTGTCTGGTGCATCAGTATCGTTCTAACACGCCAGACAACCATTTTTAGAAGTGGAATAAAAAACGAGGAAATCGTGTTAATGACGAGGGAATGTGTCCGACGTTTTATCTCGAGTCACGAGTTTATTCTTTACCAGTTGGAATACGAGGTGTGTGTATCGATTTTTTGAATCTACTGAAGGGTTAACGTCGTTGAACAAAAATGTTTAGTTCGAAGCTACAATTCTAATTCGACAATAACCAATTGTGATTCGTGATAACAATAAGGTCTTCGTTGCAAGGCGAAAGAATTGAACTATCGATGTTAGATTAATTTATTAATTTTTCTAACGAATGAAATTTCGATTTCGAGGCGATCTTAACGATACTCTATTAAAAGAAGAATAAAGAAATGCCGTCATCGTCGTTGGTATTTAGGAAAAATGATTATTTTGCTTGTTTTTTTACCAAGACAACGTACAGATAAGATGAATTTCGGTAAAATATACTAGCTACGAAGGGTTCGCAGCGTGTAGAGGCGAGAATGAAATAAAAATTTGGCGAGAGGAACCCACGGTGGGCGTGACGAACGACGTCCAGGGCCAGACTTTACGACTGGGCACGCATCCTCCGAGGATTAGGACCAAATCGGGAGCAGGGACGCGTGAAATTTCCGCATAAATAATCCGGCTTTCTAATCCGCGGCTTTCGCCCCGTCGGGCCTCGTATCTTCTGACCCTCGTTAGAAGTCTCGTCGAACGAGATAAGGGGCCCGCTTGCGATCAATAATCGCCCCCCTCCCCTCTGGCCCCCTATGGCCGACTAGTGGGGCCTACAGACTTCACCTTGAAGTGAAAAATCTTACACTTAATCGTCCGACAATTTCGCACGGAATTTCTGCCGTGGGTGAACGTCTGGGCTCTAGACAAGAAATAGCTGTTTTCAATAAGACGCCTGGAACATTTAAAATACATAATATTCTTGTATGAAAAATTCCTAGGGCATTTTGTATAAATGAACCCTTAACCCTACAATTCTCACAGCAAAGATATGTAGCAATCCAATATGGAGAACATTGTTAATTTTCTATCTCCAATCATACAAATAAATTGTTCCAAGATTTATCGTGAGTTTATTGTGAGATGTTGATCAAACCAAAGATACTACAGGCTTTTTTATGTTGAAATAGATGCATTGCTGAAATTACTCACTGGGGTGCATTAGATTCTGTAAGCTGTAGATTGTTTGGTATAATAGACGTATAATCGTATATTAAAATTAAAATTATTCCAAGTTCAGTCCAATTTTATATTATCTTCTAATATTAGTATCACAGGAAACCTTGATAATCCTCAGTTCCCTAACATTGGGTCCTATAAGGAAAGTTAATAACACGACTCTATGGCCCCATGTGGGTGTTTACAGAGATTGGAGAGTTAATTGGTCAGACTATCCCCGGAAAGCGATCGATCATCGCGAATTGCAAGACTCTAGCAGTCCCACAGCATCGGTAATTACCCTCCAGATCGTTCCTCACGAGAAAACGAGAGATTTAACACGTCACGATATCGTGGAAGGCGCGAAACGTGGTGTCCACACGGACAAGAAAGTTCCCTTTATTTTACGATTGCCCGGGGAACGCGGTTAAAGCCGGCGGCCGATAACGTCGGAATAGCAATTACACGAGTGCTTTCAGATAAGCTCTCCTTCCATGTCCCTTCAGGCCGAACAATTACGCATCGAGGCCTGAAACCGGGAGTGATGCGCGCGATCACACGAGATGTCCACGTGGGAAATTACGCTCGCGAATCGCCGTCATAATTAACGCCGAGCTGAACACGAATATCTAGCAACCCGGTCCTATAGCGAGGGAAACAAGGATATTTATTAGGTTCCTCGATAAATGACCACACATCCCGCGGAAAATCGTTTTAATGGTTCAATCAGCGTCCACATAGTGGACGGTTAAATCGGCGGTTGGAAACGGAAAAATCATCGACTTGGCGGGATGGAACGAAAAAACATGGACGTTGCTGTGTACGATGGTCATCGACGAGGCGATGATATATCGCGTTGCATCGACACGAGGAATTTAAATGCTCGCTGGAGGGTATAGACATATTTCAATTCGATAAATGGGCTAATTATCGTCGGAATGGAGCATCAGTTTCATTGACGATCGAGAGGGAAATTGATGGTCACGGAGCCACGGTGGCCTTGGTCTGCGGAATTTTCTTGAGGAATTATCATTCAAGCATGATTTCCTGCTACGAAGATTGGAAGCGTGATAATGGTGGAAGACACGCTACCGGTCTGTAAGACAGAAAACGTCATTTTCGATTTGAATTGCACTTTGGGAATTTTCTATAAACGATCGTGTGTTTTAACACGTTGACTGCCAACTGCGAGATAACTCGTATTTGACACATTGCAAAAAGGCTGGATTATTTAAATACCATTACAATACTTTTCTGTAAAATTAATATCACAGTATAATTTAAAACCAGACAACCTACCTCTATTAACTAAACGCATACATCTTCGACTATTTCTGACTTTGAAAACGAAATAAAGTGTGTTTGGTCACGAACGACCTTTTTCACTGTGGCAGTCAACGTGTTAATGATAAGAGGATCGTGTGATAAATTGTGTGAAATTGTGAACCTCTACATCTCTGCACTTCTAGACCTCTACATCTCTGCACTTCTAGACCTCTACATCTCTGCACTTCTAGACCTCTAAATCTCTGCACTTCTAGACCTCTACATCTCTGCACTTCTAGACCTCTAAATCTCTGCACTTCTAGACCTCTACATCTCTGCACTTCTAGACCTCTAAATCTCTGCACTTCTAGACCTCTACATCTCTGAACCTGTGGATCTCTAGATCTTTGGACTTGTAGATCTCTAGATCTTTGGACTTGTGGATCTCTAGATCTTTGGACTTGTGGGCCTTTAGGTCTCTGGAACTGTAGACTTCTAAGTTTCTAGGCCCATGAACTAGACCTCCAGACTTAGGCCCTAACGTACACTAACGGCTCAAATCAATGATCATAATAAATTATATTATTCTAAATTCAACTCTCAAAACAGCTGTACAACATACTGAATGACCTAATACAAACTCCACACTCAAATAGAGTTAGTAAACCGGGCGACAGCCAGTTGCAGCTTCTTGTTGCTCCTGTTGCACTACCTACAGCACCGTGTCGACCATCTCGTTCGTTTATTTATCGAGATTCGCTGGTTCGCCTTCATTCAGAGTAAGGGATTCAATTTTCTGCCTGTTCAACGTGAAATTAACAGCCGATAACGCGGCAGCGTTTTAATAAAGATTCGCGTAATTGCCGCGAGTTCTCATCCCGCCACCGCTGACCGCCTCCGTTTAATCTGGCGTGTACCACGGCGATTGGAGTGCAGTCGTCCTGATAATAATGATCGAACGTCTCGCCAAAACGAGGAAATGTGTCCCTGGCGTAATGTTCACCAGTCAGGAACGAAGTGAATTTTAATGCTCGCCTCGTCGAACCATATGCCGACTGAAATAAATCCCGCGGATCCGTTCGCCATGGTTGTTGACCCCATGTTAGGCTGATGGAACAATTTCACGGGGCTGCGCGAATTATTAGTCTCGGTGGAGGTTCCTCCGTGATCTGATAGTTTTTCTAACGAACGTGTCGAGAACTCGCTGTGAAAGACCTTTTATCGTTATGATAGATTACTAGTTATATTACGTGTAAAGAAACGTTTTGTTGTTTCTTCTGCTGTTCTTAGAAAACTACTGGTTTTTTTTAAACATGTAACTATCAGATGTCATGTATTGATATATTTATGTAGTGGCAATCTAATTGGAATTTTGGCCAATTTTCGTTGTGTCATGATTCACTGTTACGTATTATATCTTGCACAGAATACAACACGAACTGTTTAGTAAACATTTCAACTCTTGTGAACACTCTTGGAACAACTGGTGCATAGTTTAAATTCACGAACTCGTTCTTTATCCTCGTACATTTGCAGGATAGGGATTGGTACGTTTTCCCAGTTTAATGGAACTCGTCGAGATATTTCTGAAGGCTGCAAATCCTTTTGCATAATATGGCGATTTACATCCAGGAAAGGAAGAGTTAGATAACGGACTTGTTGGTACCTTTTGCAATGTTACCTTAAAAGCATCACAGCCGCTTCTGCTTTAAAGGACTTTCTCGATAACTAATAGTTAGGTCGAAGTTCTGGTTAATTAGTATTCAAACGACAGTTCCACCTGAAGGACGATCCAGTAACATAGAATCTCTAGGTTTTCCCGGAACAATTAAACCAGCCTGTAACAAGTGAACGATCAATAATATCGCGGGATCGTCGACAAAGGGTAACGACAATTAAACGTCAGCCGGCTCGTTTGACGGTCAATTAAATTGTCGACGTTAACAAATGAAGAGGTAGGCTCGTTAGGCGACGAATAAAAGGACACGAAGAGGACGGGATGAAGAAGAGAAACGTAACGAAGAATATTGAGTAGGGCCAAACGATTAATCCCTCGATAAGGGCAATCAGAGAACGCCTTCGGAACTCGACGAATCAACACGCGATCCTTATCGTACGCGTCTTCCTCGAGATTCGATCAACGAGAACCGCCCACGGCTGAGCGAGATCCCAATTCACGAGATGCCAACGATGCTCCCGTCGTCGATTACATTTGAATATTCCGTGACAAGGAACCGTGATCGGGATCTGCACGCGGAGATATCGCAGGACGATATTATCCTGAGAGCATTTCACAGCGTACCATGGCGTGTTACGTTGTCTTGATTGCTGGAGCCTTTTACGGTGATGATGGAAGTGTTCAAGATTCACAGTATTTGCCGAGGAAGTGCAAGATGGAAATGAATGCAGAATTTTTAAAGAATAGAAAATGTGAGGTTGAAGGATAGAAATCCGAAATTAAAGGATAGAGGTTTGGAGGCTGAAAGTTGGAAGTTGGAGGTTTTAAGGCTAAAAATTGGAAGTTGGAAGTTTGGAAGCTGAAATCTGGGGGCTGAAAGTTGGAAGTTGGAAGTTGGGAGCTATAACTTGGAAGTTGGGAGTTGGATATTGCAAGATGAAGACCTTGAAAGTGATAGTTTAGATTTACTAGTCATACAAAAACTGCATTTCACCAAAATAGTTTGCAATTTTATTAATTCTCTGAACGCATATCACCCAGTATACGTGCGTGGTATTCTCTCTTGTAACACTCGACTGACAAGTAAATAAGATTCACTTTTTCCAATGGATCAGCAACCACGGTCGCATCATCAATAGAGACTTTCGATCGGTCGAAAGTGAAATTTAACGGAATCCCTCGTGGGAAACGACTTCTGGGAGCAGGTTCACCAAGTTGTTTCGTTTTACTTTTATCCGGAGCTCATTCTTCCGTTCGGCATTTACACCGATCTTCCTTGCAAACCACTTTTCGTCCGCGTCTTTTTACGATACTCAGATTGACAGTTTACGATCGTCTCTCTTCCAACAAACAAAGACGGGTTATAGTCAAATTTACGACAGCGCCAACAGCTGTTTGTCGTTAAATAATAAATATTATACAAATTGATGACACAGAATCGTCTTGAATAAACATCTCAGAGAAACTATATTATTACTAACTATACTATATTACCATTAATTCACGAACCAAATATGTACTACTTTAAAACAATTTTATAAAGTTAGTGAAAAAGAGGACTTTTTAAAACTTAAATTTCAAGATGTCTTATTAAAATTAAATCTCCACTCAGCGATTTTTAAACTTTTGACGCCGGTAATATATATAATTTAACTAAAGTATAATTAACGACACAAGAAACTAATCGATGTTTAACGACAAAAGAAACGATATTTATTAATCGGATATCAGTAGAAAAAGTAAAACGGCCCATATAAACTCCGTTTAATATTTCTCGTCGTGACAATTATTAATTAGCATGCCGGTATCGGTTACTCCAATCGTGATCATATAATTAATAGCCGCATTATCATTAATAACGATAAAAGACGGCCCAGAGATGTGAGAAATTTTAACCATCGACGTAGAAAATATCAACCACCGACGTTCGAGAACTATTTTCACTTTGCCGCGTGAAAACCGATTGACATCCGGAAGCAGCGGGCAAAATTTATGCTCTCCCGACACGATTAATTATCCTCGATGGACGGTAATCAGCATCGATTAAAGCCGCTTTTTAATGAAATCCAATTACGTGCAATTAAATCCCGCGCAACGGGACCCACGCGAGCCTGTATGAGCAACAGTCAGATCGATTCGTTCGTTGCGCCGAGGATTCCCGTTGTTTCGTCGGTCCCGTCATTCCTCTGGCCAAATCGTTCCTCCTGGGTCCGGGGCGTGATGACTTCCGGTCGTACGGTCGCTTCCGATAAGATGGCGTTGTCGGGGACCAGTCTGATCACGAAATTGTTTCGCCAGTAACGACGCCATCGACGCCCGTGCAATCTGTCCATCGTAATTGTGATATTAAACGATAAAAAAATATTCTGTAAAATCATCTACTGGCTGTCCAATGAAAAACAGTAATTGAACGCGAAGCAATAAGTCGAAAAAAAAATGGAGTAAAGTTGACTTTTAGTAAAAAGGTTTAAAAATGTTAGTTTTTTATGCTTTAAAGTTTAGATTTTTCGGTATAGGTTTGTGGTAGAAGTAGGAAATTATAGAGTTCTAAGGGTAGAAGTAAAGTATTTGTATATCCAGTAACCCTGAAGAGATTGTCTATGGATTCTTCTTACGTTCCTTGCTGTTAAGTTGGTCGAAGCTTAGTGAAAACGGGATAGTACATATGATTGACACACCTGCCCAAAGTTAATACCCAGCCCCAATACGCGACCAGAGTCAAAGTACAGGTGGGCAGCATCGCGACGAGCATCCATGGAATCTCGTACAGACCGTTTTTCAGCAACATGTTTAGGGCCAGCGCGCAAATGTAGCAGGAGAACAGTGCCAGTGGAGTAGTGACCACTAAATAGAGGATGTCCAAGAGCATCTAGAACCAATTGGATACAAAAATGTCCTCTCTTTTTGACGGTAACATCGCATAGACCCTTGAACGAAACCGAAATACAGAGAGTGCCATGTCTCCAGTTTCGTTTCATTCATTTATTTATTTAGTTATTATAAGGGTATAAACCCCGTATGCATAACAATTAAGTAAAAATAAAAATAGAAACAGTTACATCAACATGGTATTACAATAGGAAATTCTTAAAGTAGTCATTACAGAGTCAAAAATTGATCATATCGATAAATTTATTTTCTGCTTTCAACATTCGATAAATTGGATGACTCGACCCATATTTAGTTTTTGGGACAGAAGACGAAGAGAGGAAACTTCTAGCTAATGTGGTATTGCAGCTGACAGAGAATGATAAGGCTCTTACTTGTCGGGTGACTATTACGGTATTGAACCATATCACGACGCTACGGAAGATGTTGTGACGCGGGACCCTTTTAGTCGCGTATTTGTATCCGCACAGCTCGCACCTCGTGTGACCCGATTCTGTCAACCATCTTTCGAGGCACACTGCGTGCACCAGGGCCACCGATCCACGACACCTGTTCAGTCAAATTGTGTGTTTATCAGGATCACATTCTTCCACTTCGATCAATCGACACTTTGAAACTCGATATACTACGATCGAAATACTGAAAATACAGTATTCCCCTACAAGATTGCCCCCATCGAAGAGAGATCTTTAATATACACTTTGGTTTTCGGTAATATACACTTTGGGAGTGGATACAGATTCGAGCACTCATCAGTGACCCAAACATTTGTTCACATACTTTTGAAATACTAATTCGGTGTCAAAATTTTTATACAATTTCTATTTACATATTTTCTTTATCATTATTTTTCACGTCAGCTTGTGATAAATTTTCCTTAATATTAAAATTAAAATGGGCATTTTGGGAACTAATCTGATCAAATAGAAATTGACAGTTTTCCGTGAACAAATTTTTGATTCACTGTATATTTTGGAAAAGTGTATACTTTGGAATTTGTATAGTAATAAAAACGATCGTAATATCGTGTCAATTGGTCTGTAAAGATCTCGTCCCCACAGAGACGATTTCATAGGGGATTCGTACTGTATTCCGTGTGGGCAATCGTCGAATGATGCTGTGAATCAAGTCTTCTATGTCGAGACTCGAACTGACAGTCTCCTAGATCCGACCACCCCGGATCGCCGCGAATCGTTCGATCAACGGGACCGTGATAAATCGGAATAAATATTGATCGGCTCACCTGCACGCGGAGATCAAAGGGCCGAGATACGCGTAGGACGATAAGTTTGATATCTGGCTGTCATTCCCTCGGACGGCCTGGCTTTGCCTTTCACGCGCCGGCCGGTTGTTCTCCGGCCTGGGAAAGCTGCCCATGTGGCATATTCTGCATATGTCGCCTCGAGACTCTGGATCGACGAAACGGAAAATTATTCGACCGAATCGTGTGCAACATGTCCGATGTTGTGTAATGCTTTGTACCCACGAACGGTGAACGACCAAGAATCTTTCTCTCGATACCTGAACACAAGACCACAGAACGTACCATCGTCGTTGCCCTTCGAATCGGCCAAGCTTCGCCCGGAGCACTTCCGAGTCCCGTCATTCCTCGTTCTCGGTGGCTGCTCGGCCGTGGACGATTTCTGCGCGGACGTCACGCTTTGGATGGACGCTAGTGGACCGCTGAAATTCACCGGCTGGTCGGGCTTATCGACGGGTTGATCTAAAACGGAACGAAACGCCATGACGAGAGGGAAGGTGTGCATAGTCCTTGCCGAGATATAGCGTGGTGGTGAATTAACCCTTTTTTTACTGTATGAACGCAGAAAATGCGAAGAATAGAGACGAAGAAACGACAGGATACCCGACAAGGCACTAACCAGAGTTGGGCATTATTCGAACGAAAAATTTATTTATGAAACCTGTTTATAGGACCCTAACTGTTGGACTCCGATTTTAACGGGGTTTTACACGATGATAATACACAGATTTCTAATTATACATGCGAAATATGAGGTGTAGAAACTCGACAATTTTGAAGATATACAGAATTAAGGTTACGAACCTACGAGATATATTACGAATATAAGTCAAAGTTATCAAAATTATTGATACGATCGATCGCAGGTCCTACGACTTACCAGCCAAACAACCTTATACTCCGATAAGTTTGACTTATGTTCATGGTACATCCTACAGGTACGTAATTTGAATTATTTATATCTCTACAATTATCGAGTGTCCACGCCTAATACCTCACGTATATCATTGGGAACCTGTATACCATCGTTTTCCAAATCCCCCTTAAAATCGAAGTCTGACAGTTGGGGTCCCTCCCTTCTTAAGAGAACCCCCATAACCTGTATCGTTCGCGGGTACATCATCGAGCTGATCGTTGGACATCAAAAAGACGGTGGTTGGATCATCCTGGCCATCGTTGATCCTCGCCTGTCGCGCCGTGAATCTCTCGCCGACGGTATATCTGCGCGCCTCCTTATTTTCGACGGTGCATCGGCTGGCCGAGCTGTTCTACGCGGATCTATTTTCGATCGCGTCCACCGCGACCTATCGTACGAATCCATTTCGAACGCTGCGAACTTCTCCCTGTGGGCTCTGACAATTGAACGAGTGGATGACACGATGACTCGGGTGAAGCTGTGTGTACACTTGAATTTCGATATTTCAGTTGATCACACCTTCATACTTTGCGTGGAGGGTTTTCGAAGGAATGGTCGTTCAATTTCCGATCTGTAGGTGTAAAATTGGAATAGGTTACTAGAGTAAATAACCTAATTACGGATGATGTCCGTATTAGGAAGGATTAGCCATATTTTTATGAACTAACATATCCCGTAAATCATTTCGTTTTAATGAAGTTCTAATTTGTATTTTTGTTTCTTTATGTAATAAGGAATAAGAGTGGAGACAGTAAAGATAAATAATATACTTTTATGGAATAAAGTAAAAAAATATGTATGTAATAAATTTTATATTTTTAATAAGACACTCCATAATAGATGCAAGAATTTCTATTTTTCATTGATTTCTCATTATTCCGTACAAAACTTATTTCGGAGGTTTAGAAAACTTAAACTTACCAGACTTAACTTACAGGCACGTAAATAACAATTACCAATAGTTTCTTATTATTTCTTAATAATTGTATACGAATACAAAATAAATGTCACGCATCGTGTTCCATCACAATATCGGCTCGATAACGATTCCATAATGCCGTGTACACACTTGGGAAACGAGATAATAATGAATAGACTGTGAATGTTTATGGGAATACAGACTTTTATGGATTGAGTTACGTGGACACGGTAATCAAATAGAAGCTTGTTTATCGCATTTCTGTCTTGTTCGTAATAAGGTAAGAACCTGCTTAAGTATTATTGAACTTTTTCGCGCGTGTACGCTCTCGGTTCCAGACAAATCATGTACACGATAAACGCATAAAATCGGCTGTCTAATAATGAAATTACAGTGATACGAGCGTCTTCGTGACGACGGAACCCGGGCGCATAAAATTTAAATGGTTCGGGAACGTTGGACAAGCATCCCATTTCGCTGCAATGCACCGATAACGAGCGTGTGAAGCTGCGTGTACGCTTGCAATAAAATTTGCTACGCAATACGAAATATAACGTCGTGGTCGACTTGGACGCGACACGCCGTTTTCATCCAAGCACTTTCGTAAAGGTTGTCGCGTGAGATTTCGATATTACGGAATGTCGACGATTGTACACTCATGTCGCTTCTTCAGGTTGCAATTTAATCTTGTCCGTACAACCCTGTCGGGCAACTGGGTGACGGCGATTGCGTTTGAAACCGGTAAATTTGCCACGGTGGAACGAAAAGCGTGTGACATTAATGTTTCCTTTAATAGTCGACGGTAGTTCGATCACGTTTAAGATAAAGCTCACGTATCGACGTTATCTTGTATTTGACTCGTCGAACATCGATGGGTCATTCCAAACGAAATGGTCCAATGTATACCATTTTTTTTAAATCTAATTTTGTGTGTATGTTTACCCTTATATGTTGACACTTCAAAATCAGCGTCAGCTTATTCTAATGATTTTTCGTAATCACAGAAACATGGGACACAAAGCACCTTTTTCAGAAAAAATCAAACTACAATTATACTGTTTTATCCTAAACGTTATTCCAATAGCTAAATTTTTTGTGTTCAGTTTGCTGGTTTGATTATTAAAAACATGAGAAGTTCAATTGAACATTTTTGCAAGAAGAAATAAGAAGTCTCAAACTTAGTAGACTATATTTTCTTATTTTTGTTGTTATTGATAGTGAGTATACTGAATTAATTCTTTGATCCTGCAACTGTCACGCAACAGTATTTGCAAAAATATGGACGACGATACAATTTAAGCTGTTTAATGCCTCAGGACTTGGGTTGATTTATCTGTGTGTAATTTTCATGTCTCGAAGATGTCTCGAGATTCTACCGGGTATAATATTTTACTCGGCTACTTTCGTTAATCCCTACGAAGCGTCTTGAATCCGTCGCTGGCGGTTACGACGTATCGGGGTATCTTATCAGGGACCGTTTGTGATTGAATGAAAATAAGTACCTGTATCGCTGCTACTTCAATCCTTCCCTTTGGCGTTTTCTGTGCCTTCATTGCTCGGTAATTGGAGTTCCGTGATGGATTGGATAGCTGGTCGAACGCGACGCTCTCGGGCGCTTCTTTAGGATTTGCCTTCCGATGGTCAGTCGAGACTCTCAAGATTCGCTAGTGTTTCGCTATAGATCCTTCTGAATTAACCTTTTTTAACACTTAGCCAACCGAATGGGGAAATCTCCCCATTCGGTTAGCCAAGTGTTAAATTTATACTTCTAATTTTAATCTAATTAAACGACTTCAGTTAGTGAAGTTAAGTGGTCCAGCCTAGGCGATGGTCCAAATTCGTCAACCTTCCCCTACTCGATGCACCTGTCTGAATATATACTTTGCTACTGAAATTTCAATACTGAAGAGAATTTCAATGTATTTCTCTTATAGCTGTAGGTTCTAAACTCTACATCCTTCAAACTAAAATTTTCTCATAATTATTCTGAAGAGGATTAACCTTACCTTCACGTTTCTCGACTTCTGAATGAACACGAACGCATCGATCCTCTAATTTCAGAATGAAACCGCCCTCTCTTCCGCGATCCCCCGAGCAACAAGAAGACGAGGAATCGCCGTACGGGCCGTTTACGAAGCTCTCAGCCTGTCGGCTTAATGGCGCGGCTCCCATTCAAGCCAGATCGGAGCCAAAATTGCTTAAGGGGGAGGGGAGGGGTCCAGGAAAACCTGTTTCTCATCGTGGGGCCCCTCGTAACGCTAATTAGACGCGTGCCCGAGCGAATTTTCAACCGGAAGTAACGACGCGTGGCCGCGATAAATCACCGTCTACGATCGTCTACGATCAACTCCAGGCCGCCATTTTGTCGAGGTCTCACGTCCAGATGGACAAATCGTTCGGAGAGCAATCGGCCATCGTGTTTCCGCGAGAGTCCACCGCAGTGTAATTTCGGAATCGGTTTCCGGTCAGACGGATTAAACGCACTTGGGGATTATTATTAGAGTCAGGTCTAACCAACGGATTTTCGGAAGAACAATTTTCGTCACTTCCGGCGACACAGCCAGGATGGATCATTTATTTTGATCGAGGAGAAGGATTTTGAGAATGATAGAGGTGTAACGTTACGCCACGATGTCCGAGAGTTTCCGGCTTAACCCAAATCCACTGAGGAACGACTCGAAGGAAGTGCTTGCGAATGTGTTGACCCTTTTTCTTCTTAGTGAAAAGGAATAATCCAAGTTGGTAGTATTTATACCGTTTTAGAAAATGGGAAGACTTTATATTTAAATAAGTTGGATATATTACACCTTCACGGAGGGTTAAAATAAATTTGCTTCCAGACCTATCTCCTTTATCTCATAGGCTACCAAAAAATCTAAAAAAATTGAAGGATACTTCCCACGATCTCTACTACACGATTCAATGATTTTGGAGTTGAATGCTAAGACGTTTTCTTTTTGTAATAAAAATTCCTTCGTTCCGGAGATATTTGAGCGCAGCATTGTATGCCGTAAAAGACCCAGGGGGTCACGAAGGGTTAATTAAATCGAATTCAAGACCTTCGCCACGAGTCCAACTAAATGTTAAGTGACCAAAGGGTCAACTGCACGATGTGTACGGGTTAAAAGAAACTGGAAACGTCCTCGGGGAAGGGCAGGTGCCAGCTCCGTTCGGTTCATTCCTCCTCCGTCATTCCACTCCCTGGCTCCCCTGACGACCGTGTCCACGGGCGAAACGTCAAGAACCATTTCCACGTCTTGCTATTTCTGCCAGGTGGCGGACTCGACCGCCACTCCCTGCCCCTCCACCCTCTGGGCATTTTCCGCTGGACGTTTTTGGTTCAAGATTAATTAAATGCGTCTGGAAATAGTTGCGATCCCCGGCTGTTTCAGGGTGTCACTGAGGGGTGGTGGGACGATGGAGGAGAACGCGAGTTTCGATGGCGTAACACGCTCTCGACCACTCGTGCTCGATTATTTGCACGGAGGGCAACACGATACCGCGGTTTAAACCGCTGTTACGACCCGTGAGGACGATCGATGGCTTGGCTTTGATCGTTACCTGCGCGGTTCTGTCGTGCTCGTTCACCCATTTCGCGTTTAATTGAATTGGTCCTCGCCTTGGGCACCGATTGCAATCATTTCGCGAG